CAAAATACCTCTTGGGCTCTAACTTCACCAGGAGAAAAAGCATCTGGTAAAACTCTACTGGAGGTCAGGCTTTTTGCACTTTTAACAGGTCAAATAAATGTTAGGCCTCATAGCTTTTAACCCAGTCCACTGACCAGAAACTCCCAGTTGCTGCATCTCCCCTTGGATTTTCACTGGTTCAGACTGGAGACACATCTACAGTGTGCAAAGGGAGGAGGTGCACAGTGCTCAAAGCTTCATGGAATCTGTGAAGTATTGATACCTTTCACCCACCCTGTTACTGGAGGACTTTCAAATTACCGTCTCTCTTCTACACTGCTGTTTGCTTCTGCATCAGCAGAAGGCTGAGGCCAGCCTGTAAGCCTGACAACAGGGCAATTTTATGTTAAGCTTTACAACTGCCATGTGGAGATGCACTCCTACAGGTAATACAAGCTAATGTCAGGGAGACATGCAGGTACTGTGATGGAACCTATTTTTTTTTTTTTTTTTTTCAGGAGCGGATATTGTTCAAAACTTTCAGGTAAATGTTAAATACACTTTACTAATTTCTTATAGGCAATAATCCCACAAATGCACAATGACAGAGAGCACTAGTCTAATGTGCCACATTCTTACAGCAAACAGGTAGGGAAGCAAGAATGAGGATCAGCAGATACTTGTGTTTGCCACATGCTTGATATAACCTCTTTCTGCTCATGTTGCCATCTGCTGTGAAGCACTTCACACGTGTTTTTCAACGCTTCTCTACCTTTGAAAACAATACTGTTACTTTGTCATAAACAGACTGAATTATTCTTATGTATGGCCCCATCTTTCCATGTTTACTGACATCTTTACACATACTGAGCTGCTGCTCAGGATTTTTGCTGCAGATTTCCACTGTGGGGTTTGGAGCCCTGCTGACTTCTGTCTCAGAACAGCTTTTCCAAAAGGAAGTGCTCTCTAAAGTGATATAGTATCACACAAGCTATTCACAGGGGAAACTTCACCTATGGCTGCAACACAGCTGTGTCTGATGTTAAATGTGGAATCCACTGATATTTTGACACAAGGGGAAGACCTGTGCTCAGGGAAGTCCTTTATAATATGATTAAGCTGTCATTTAAATGGTGTAAAAAATAGCTTCTAAGCAGAGGAAAAAGGAACAGTCTTTTTTGCAAATGACTGCTGAAGGTGAGATGATTGAAAGGGACACACAGGAGTGTTTTGTTCTGGTTTTAACTTGACTCTACTGAAGCACTGTATCATTTTGTGAAGCAGCGGAAATTATGGAGATTCTGCTGTTTAGATCTCTGGAGACAGATGCGTGTGTTTAATGACTGCTCATTAAAACAGCCTCTAATAGAATCAAGTAGAAGCAGAAAAACACTGAAGAGAATAGTGAAAACTACTGGGCTCTGATTAATGCTTTATCTCATCTCTGAAGAAGAATGCAACATCGCATGGTAATACAAATTAAGGGTATATGTGAAGAAAAAACACTGAATTGACATGATCTGCAAACCAACAAGCTGGTGTGGGTCTGCTGTGTGCACACCCCTACCAGCACAGCCTAGCCGCAAGCCCACAGGGCAAGTCTGGCTTATGACACATAGCCAACTATCCAGGTAAATCATCTCTCTGAGAGATGCGAAAAGGATGTCTGAGGCGTATCCTGGATGGGTAAATGTCTATTTGAACCTGATTGCAAAGTGGTATCACAAGCGAAGGAAAACCAGCCTCCCTGACCAGTGCCTGCTGCTGTCTGTCCCTCACACCCACTCTTCACAGGCCCTGGGGATGACCACAGCAGCAGCAAACAGCACCCCAAGGAACACCCTCTTGGCCTCCCCTTCTACTAAAAGAAACAGCCAATTTTAGCAAATGCTCAGTGGGGTGCAAAGGTGCCATCAGCGAGGGCTGCTGCTGCTCTGGGGGCAGAGGGCAGATTGTGGGTGCAGTTATAGAGCTGACATGAAGCTGCTGAATTCGAGCCAACCTGAACTACCCTGTGATGGCAGACAAAGAGGTTTGCAGATCTAAGACCATATCTACTGGCAAGGCTGTGTTTCTGTAACAGGCTGGCTGTGTGCAAACTGTGGCTGGATAGAAGGCAAACACTTTCCAGACAGAGTGTGATGAATGAAATGGATGAAACATTACGAAGCCATGATGTTTTTCTGTGACATCTTCCAACACGAGGGGGAAAAACACAAACCAAACTCAACCTCAGCACAGAGAACTCCAGGGACACTAATACAGGGTGTTTAATTAAATAACAAAACCCAGATATGTTTCATTAGTTCCCGCAGCAAGCTGTGAAGGGACTGGAAGTCCAGCACTGACAATAAATCATGGAGCCCATTTCAGCAAGAAACTGCAGAAGGAGCCAAAGCATCTAGGGAGAGATGAGCTGCTGTTGTGTGGCCTGGCTCTGTGTAGCATATGCTACCTTGCCAGGCAGTGAACTCAACCATATCTGCAGAGTAAGAGAGCCAAGGGAGCATCTCCAGGCTCTACAGGGACCAGCCTCTCCACTATAACAGCCTCCTGCCTCTACGTCAGTGGGAGCTTGCCCTAACTTCTCTCTGAAGAGCAGTGGGGCTGCCTGATCTGCTTGGATGTCAAGGGAGTATTTTTTTGTTGGGCTACACTAGCAAATTGCAAATGCTTCCTTCTCCTGCCTGATGCCCTGGCACACGTGTGGTTTGCATAACAGTAATTTCCACATCTGCCCTTGCACTGCACCACCAGTGGCACCACTGGGAGAGGCCAGGTCTTGGAAAAAGATAAACAGGAGCTTGAGGCTGTGGCAACGAATGAATGTCACGTGAGACAGAAGGGGGGAACACAAAGGCACCTCTTTGTCACCCCTTTCCCAAAGGTTAAAGAGTAGGAATAGCCAGGGGAGCAAAAGAAATCCTGAGGTTAGTTTGAGATTTTGGAATATTCTGCTCCCACTGCCTAATGCCTGAAACTGGAGTTCTAAGGGCTCTAGCTCACTTTGCCATATCCTCTGTATTCCGCTTGTAAGCTGAATGATTTGGAGTGTGTTGATCCTTGTTCTGGAAATTATAAGAATGTGTTTTTGAGCTTGACAGCTCAAAGTGATGATGATGGCAAACTCGATGTATCTTAGAAAATGTGTTTATATAGGCTTTCTGTCAAGCACCATTTAAACGCCATACATCATGATAAAAAGGAAGGTGAAAGCAGCTCTGCTAAGCCACTAGTGGGAAGACTGTGTCCTGGTTACATTAAAATATCTTTTGTTGTCAGATAAAGAATGCCTGCATGGAAAGGCCACCAGCTTTACAATTAGAACAAAATAAGGGGATGAAATACTTTGGTAGATAGGAAAAAAGAAAATCACAATAAAATCCACAAGCAGAAAATGCTCATGAGATCATCTGCACATAGTAACTAACTGTTGGTTACCATTGAGTTTTGGCAGGTTTTTACTATTTATTAATTTGGGCAGCCATTTTACCCTCTTAATGATAATTCCATCTGTTAGGCTGATGCCGATGCTGGGAGATGTGGAAGGGGCATCAACACAGCAAAACAAGATGCCTGAACCATCCAACCTGGCTGTTCCTGGCTTATTCCTGCTTCTCCTGACTTTAAAAGCAGGTTAAAAATGCATTGCGCAGTCAGAACCGGTTCAGTTTATTATCCTACTTTAGGCTCCAGCCTAAAGTCCAAACTAAAGTCCTAATAAGCCCAAACTGATCCCCAAATAGCCATGGCCACATGATTTCAATAATGGCTTCTCCATTACATGAAACATTTATTTCCCCTCCCTCTCTATTGTTTTTTTTTCCCCAACTAATTTTTATTTCTTTACCAGTTTAACAGAGTGGATGGCTGACTGTTCCTAAGGGTCTGTATTGCGTAGTTGTGGTTCATGTTTATTGTAAGCAAAAAGCATTTATCAAACACATCCCAATCACCATTGTGCTGTAGTCCTTTTGGTGTAGTTTAACCACAGAACAAACAGAGTTTCTACTCCTGCACCATAATACCAACTTCTTCTCTAGATAAAACAGATGCTGCCTCAATGTCTGATGTGAGAGATGGAGAGGACAGCTGTGGCTGGCAGAAGTAAACATCACTAAGATCTTTTCCAGGATACATCTGAGCTGCAGGACTGTAGTCCTGCATCATGTAAAGGAAGTAGCTGTGCTCTTGGTCACTTACCTGGGTATCTGCCAGTCATGGGCCAATTTCTTTCGGAAGGCACATAACAGTCAGTCTTACTGTTAGAGATGTAGCTCATCCCATTTATACGCCTGGAAAATAAGCTGAGTATTCAAGAAAACCATTTAAAAGAATTAAGATACACATTTTATAAAAAATTTAATTTGGAAAACGAGATGGTCCAACATGTTCTTTTAGCCTATCTGTAACAGTCAAATTGGAAACACATCTGATCATGCATCTGATTTTGCAGTTACTTAATTGGAGGATTAGGACCAACGATCTAAAAAAAAAAAATCTAGAGTAACATAGTGTCTTGCAACTTTTACCTCTCCCAGTTAATGCCTACTAACTTAAGTATTTACATCCATTTAGCAATTAGATTTCCCCCCCTCAAATCTGAGTGTATACAATGATAATAAATGGCAGTGTGTCAGAAGAGTGAGCAGTAGAGATAAGCCAAGAAAGAAAGGTGGATTTGGAAGGGTACTCTGGCTTTCACTTGGAATTCTACATTCAAGAATTCTTCTTAGCCCTTCTTTCAGAGTTTTTGTACAAAATTGCTTGATACTTCCTTCTGCAGTGTTAGTAGATGCAGGGGATCTACAGAAATTCAACTGAAGTTTGGACATCTGAATTTAATTCCCCAGGTTTAGTCAGTGTTATCTGTCATCTCATTACACTGGAACATACTTAATTTTATATTTGTAGAAAGGATATTGTTTTGTTATTTGCAATATAATGTGAAATTCAATGAAATGAAAGAAACAACATTTTTTTTTAGAAAGGAAAATTTATTTATGGTTACATACACCACATATAAAATTAACATTTAACTGAAACATGTAATTGTTTCCATCATTTACGACTAAACACAATGTTGACTACAAAACTGTACAGTTTATATTTAGTAACCAATTCTTACAGCATAGTGCAATTGTACCATTTTATAAAGAAAATAATTTGTGCCTTTTTTTAAATAAAGTGCATTAAATTACTATCTTGTATACAACAAGAAGCTCTGTAGTTGCAATTCAAAGCTTTAAGCTTAAGGGAAACTGAGGCCAAGATGTTTCACTTCCTTTTAAAATCACTTCATACACTGGCAAGGTATGGTTCAAACTTCAACCGTGGTAAAATTAAAAAAAAAAAAGCCCTAAATTAGTATAAGAAATAACTGCAGGCCTTTATGTATGAAACCAGTAATTGGTTTTCACATAAAAAGCACAACATGCAGAATTTCAATCCATCTGGCTCCTAGTGAGATGTGTAGCATGAGAACTAATCCCCCATGCAGATGCTTTTGCTAAGGCTTTTAGAATTCAGCACGGAACTACACTGCAGTCAGTAGTACCAGGTGTTTACCTGAATCACACGATGTGTCCTAGGAAAACTTCTCTCTGAAAATTTGATGAGATGAACATGGTAAACCACAGGTTATTTTTAATTGCATTTGGCAACAAAAAATGTGGGGGTCTGGTTAGTAAGTCTAGGAAATTACAAGTGGTTCTACTAGCCCGGGGTATTCCAAATGTCATGGCCTGAAGTTAAAGACCGAGTTTTACAGCTTTATTTCAGAGGCACATTTATAGCATCTTATCCTAACATACAAATGAAATTTCATTTGTAAACACATTTTCAACCAACTTTTGTAGATTTTGGCTGTGACACTAAAGCTGAGACCAAACAAAGGATGACTTTAGCTCAAAAGAGTGAAAAGATGTAGACATCAAAAGGGATAGAGGTGTAACGTGGTTTTTTTGGAAACAATGACAAAATCAAGAATGCCCATTTCCTTTGGCTGGCTCTGGCTGAAGCGTAACAGAAAAGTCAGTATTCTTCTCCTCCTCCATACATACATGGGACTGCTATCATCTTCAACATAAAATATATTTGAGCACATGCAAGTAACCCTAGAGATTGCCTGAGTATTTTGCTGCATATGTAATCTAGGCAATTTACCTGCCTCTTCAGCTGCAATAGTCATTCCACACTTTTGGCACAAATCACACATACTGTTCCTACATTCTGGAAAAGTGCATTTTCTTCCTATAGGGACCGGCCTGCATTCAGAAGCAGACTACTGTACATTCAGCTGCTCGGCTCTGGGGTAGCTGCTGTGTAAAAAGCTCCATGCTGGAGCGTGCTAACTCCTAGCAACAACTTACTCTCCTCCTCCTAGACTAAGGGAAGTCTCTGCTTACACTGAAAGAGCAATACAAAAGAAAGGAGCTCAAATTTGGCTGGAATGTGATCGAAGAAGGCTCGCTATTTTCTATTGTGTCTTCAGAAAGCTCTGTGTTGAGAAGAGAGCTCCCTTCCAAACCCAGTGTGCTCTGATCTACAATCAACCCTACAGAAAAGCCTCACCTTCACGCTCTTTTCTCATGAGCCCTCTGGGGCAGAGGCACCACAAAGTGAACAGAGAGTTGCTCATATATTGAGGGAGTACCTTGTCAGAGGGCAACGAAAGAGTGTTTGCCCCCTTTTGTCTGCCCTTCAAACAAAAACTCAGGAATGGGGCACAACTCCCCATACTCCGTGGGGACACAACTGTATGTCCCGTTCACAATGTGGGTACCTCAGTTTTCAAAGGCCCAGGTCACGCTGCTTTCATTTGCATACTGTAAAAATATCTCTTCCCTGAAAGTGTGGGAAGCCAAATTCCTGATTATTTTGATGGGTTTAATCTTAGTGAACATTGAAGTAAGTGGAAAATTCTATGGGGACCATAAGTCATCAATGCATTAAGAGCTCTACATGTTGGCCCTGAATCTTAGAAGTCCTAGACCCTTTTGCTAAAACACCATTGAAGCATATAGGTATTTTACATATCCTTAAAAATGAATGCATAAAGTTTTTCAGATGCTCTAGCACCAGCCAGTGCAAAATGTGCACCTGTGTCACATAACTGTGTGGAATGCTGTTTAGACTCATGATCTGAGCAGCCCTGTTACCAAAGCACCTACGAAAGACAGAAAAAGAGCAAGAGAGAACAGGGAACATTGTGTTCAGGAAGATATAGCTGCTACATAGGTTCACTTTTGTGACAAATATCCTTCCTGCATTCTGCCCCACATGTGGTGAGAGAACACATTCCTATAATCTCAAAGCTGGCAATGGGGTTTATCCAAATTAAAGACATGAGAATTTGCCTCCCTTCCAAAACCTCTAGTCAGTCAGTCTTTGTTGGTATATCAATTGCCACTGAATCTTTCAGTGTTTACAAGACTCATACAAGTTTGGCAATATTTTTCTTTAAACATACAAAACTCCCTCAACAAAGAGGTTGCACTTCAACCATGTCAACACTGAAGAAGGTATAGAGCACGAGATATACCATACCATGCATATAAAAAGTAAATTAAATAATCATAATAATTATGTATATATATATTTAAGTATGTAATTATGCTATTTAAAAGTGATAGCTCATCATACATAATTAAGCTAATGGCATACCAAAATACTGTAAGAAACTCTCTATTCAGCACATAATATAATTAGTATTTAAACTCTTTAAGTTAAACCTGAACATAGGCATTTCCCTTTAAGAATGAGTTTATAGTTAAAAAAAAAATCTATTTTATTGGTACCTCTTTGCGCCTCCATTTTCTATGGTAAATCCTTGCAGGATGCAGTTTTCAGCATGTACAGTTTGTATTGGCTTCCTTTTTTCTTGAGAAACTGGGATTAGGCCTGTGCTCAGACCACATGGTACATCATATGGTTGGGATCAAATTGTTTGAGGAAAAAAGAGTATTAGTGTAAAAAAAAATTCTAGCAGTACACTTTCCCTCCAGCTTTTCCTCTCCACAGGTGAATCAGACATTTTCAGCATAAGGTTAATGCTCGCTAAAGTTGTTCAATAAAAAAATGCTGCTGATATATTTGAAAGGGTTATAACAAACTATTAAAAAACTTTGTAAATAAGCTTTTACCTAAGAATGCACCACTGTACTTATGAGAGGCAGGTACTTGGAATCACAGAATCATTTAGGTTGAAAAAGACCTTTAGGATCATTAAATCCAACCGTAAACCAATGTTAGTCTTGAAGCGAAAAGGATTGTACCAGACATTTTACTACAGGGGGTGCGGTGATGGTGAGGTGAAGGATGAATAAAACCCATAAAAAACACACAAGCCATAATCCTATGGCCATCAGTTGAAATACTAATACTCTACACTAGCAATTTAAGGAAGCCTCCAAATATGCACTGAATGCCCATAACTACTCTATGCTTTTTAGAAAGGTCTATGTTACTCAGAGCTATCATATAACTAAATCAGGTCATTAGTTCTGGGACATAAGACTCTTCCCCCTATCTACGAGGGGGAAACCCATAATACTGTCTTGTTCAGTTAAATATCTAACATGTCAGTGAGCGTGTAAAAATTGCCTTGGCATATGTAGAGTGCAAAATAAAGGCTTGGGGAGGTGAGGACAATTTCCTTAAATGCCAGTTCAAGGAGTCTGTGATGGCAACTTTAACTGATCGCTGTTCTAAAATGAATTTCACTCTCTCAGTCTATTTGCAAAAAATCTCCACTGGAAAAATCTCCCCTTATCCTTTTGGTTTCACTGAATTAATCTGCATCATAGCATTGGTGCACTAGTTAACTGCAATAGGCTTTCACCTAACCTACATTCAGGTTTGGTTTTTTCCTTCTCTTCTAGAAGAAGTTCATGTAAGAGTAAGTGAAATGTGCAACTCTTTGTGTGGCTTACAAGATCACAATAATTTTGTGAATAAACCACAGCATAGACTTTTTAGGTGCAAAGGCATACTGCTTTCAAAGAAACCTTTACTGCAAAGTTACAGGCTCAGCTGCTCCTCAGAAGAAACAGAAATACCTAATGACTTACTGTAAAATAATCTGCTGATAGTGCTACTTGTGCATTTTCAATATTTTTCCACAAAACCTCTCTTCTGATTTCAAGTGGAGCCACACAAGACCATGCTAACAAGACAAGTAATAATCTGAATAAAACATGAGGTGACATTTTTCAAGGAAGGTGGACCTCACTTCTGATCATATCCCTTCCTCTTGTTCTTGGACACCATTCAACAGGAGCAACCACACTGCCAGCCTCAGGGACACAAAGACTGCTGCAATACACCCCAGAACAAGGGCAGTCCCAGGGCCCCTCTCAGAGGCTCCATATGCATTGGGTCAGGTTCCAAATGGACAGCTCAAAATAACCTTCTCACAGGGGATGCATTTATTCAAGTGTCCTTCCTATCCATGCTCAATCAGTGAGTATCTGGCTGATTCACCAAGCCATAAAGACTTCCATCTCTCATCATCCACCTAATATGAAAGCAGATACCCTTGCAGTTCACTCAGATTTCTCGTGCATTAAAAGGAACTCCAAATTCTGGTCTGAAGAAGACCGAAGTACCCAGTTTTAAGGGGTAATTTCCTTTTGTACCAAAAAAGTATTTCTAGACAGGAGACCTTTCAAGTTTATTGGGGGTCCCATCATTCTTATACTGACAAATGAGGGAGATATGCATGCCTATGTTTCGTGACCTATTGCTTATTCATGACATATAAATTACACCAATTCCTTTTAGTCCCTTCCTTTTAGTTCTCTATAAGCAGAGGCTGAGAGATCTTAATTTTTCTACACTGAACATTTCTGGACTACCACTGAACGGAACTAGAACCACTCAGTATCTCAGATAAAGTGACAGAATAGCTAGTGTTTTTTTTAATAGTGACTACTCTGTCCAATTCTTATTTCTTTATTGTACACAGAAAAACTAGACCATGTATACTTTCTTTTCATAAAAGTCATGGCCAACCAATTGAAAATCCTGTTCTGAACATTTTGGGGTTAAGTAATGAGTGTGTAGTTATATTTCAGGGGCTTGATTTGTAGTGATGCTATTTTATGCCAAGTTAAAGTCACAGAGCAGATTGCTTATCACCTTGGGGAGATGAAGTCACATGTATCTTATTTTTAAAGGCTAAAGGATCCCTAAGAAAATGAGGTAACAAAATAACAGCTCTTTGGGGACAGCATGCCTGCTGGTTTAAGCCAAAGTTCACTGCTGCCCATTGAAGGGCTTTAGTGACTCCAAGATGCCTCAAGGTTGGCTGCTGAACACTAATAGATGGACGCAGCTGCTTATGTTCCTGAGCGTCAGTGGTAGGAAAATGCAGCAGCAACAGCAGGCCTTTCAGCTTGCTTCCAAACAGCCTGGTAGGGGTTTTCTTCACTGATATCCAGAACCAAGCTATCTTCAGAACGGGTTAGCACCATTTATCGTGTCCATCTTGATAAGCATGGCAAATTCGGTATTTTCTGTTACAACTTGAAATCCTGAACACAATTTATCTACAGAATGCTGTACATCTAAATGCTGAATGATGAAAAGAATAAAAATCCCCACTGCAGGACGTAATTTGTTCTCGCCAATAGCACAAATTTGGGACCCAAGAATTACGATAAAATATTATTGCTGTGTAATTCTATTCAGGAATTCAATAATTATAACACAAATCAACCAGAAATTATATCCAACATCAGTCTGATAGCATCTGCTTAACAAAGGAAGACTTATGCTTATTGAAAGTCCTTATGCAAGTAACTTTTTTGTTTAAAGTAATATTGCTTCCTCTCTATTGCTCTGAGTTTACTCAGCAGTTCATAGTACCTGCAACATGGAGGATTTTATTGCTTTTGTGCTAAAAACATATTTCCCCTTATTGCTGAAATCTTACTGTTAGAAGAAATGGTTAAAAAAAAAAAAAAAAAGACAATCTAAAAAATTGGTCTCCCAAGCTTTGAGGATGAACACATGAAAAACTGACCACAATACATTTTTCCCATCAAGATATAACCTATTGCTAACTTTGGGTCAAGTGTTTTAATAAGTAAACATGAACTTCAATTCTTTAAACTAAATTACGTATTAAGAAATAAAAGTCTTCTGTCATTGCAATGGAGATGTGAAAGCTACTTCACTGCACACAGAATGGTGAATCTAACTTCCCTGGTCTCACGCATGGGTGTTCTTTGATGGGACAACAAAATATCAGAATTCTGCAAACTGGTGGGATTTCTGCCAGTTTCAGAGGGATCCTGGATGGATACCAGCACCTCACCATATAGAACTGGGGCCTATCCTGTAGTTCTGAGGAGACAGCAGAGAATTGCTTAATTCTGCAGGGTCTGGAAAGTGGCTGGCTGTCAAGCAATCCTTCTGTGCAAGTGAGGTCAGCAGCTTCATACACACAGCTCTGGCCCTACTCTCAAGAGCTCGTTCACAGGTGTGTTATATAGCACCTGTCAAGTACTGCAAGCCATGTTAAAGTTTGGCCTGACAGCTGCGGGTAAACCTGTGCCACTGACTTCCAGTAGGATTTTCTGGCCTGTGCTGCACAGTCTTAATTTAAGAACATATTTCTGGAAGCGACAACATCCTCACTGGAGGTCACAGCAGAAGCTTGGGAGGCAGAATTATGTTTCTCATCTGTATGTGGTGGAAGGCAACCACGCACTACTCCTCAAACAAGGGTAAATCGCATCCCTACGAGCTAGCTTTGTGGGACTGCTATAATTAATCCTTCTTTCCTCTTTGACTTGCACTGTTCCTCAGGAGAGAAGCTTCCAATTACAAATCTCTCCGCTCTGGCACAAGGAAAAGGTCGGCTCCCCCAGCACTCTGAGAGTCTCTATGGATTTGAGCAGCCTGTGGAGTGAGGAAGATGACAAGGACACTAGGTGAACCAGCATGAGAGGATGACATTACCTCCCTCTGCGCTGTTTTTTTTCTTGCTTTCCCATCACACAGGTGTTGTGTAGAGAAAAACGCTACTGCCTGTGAAGTTATCCAAGAGGATGAGAACAGGTCCGCATAAGCAAAACAACAGCTGCCCTCTGGACTGAATTTTGGTCATAGTTGTAGCTTTTATCATCATCATACTTTTAGCAATTTGATAAAGAAGAACAAATGCAGGAAAAAGGAAGGGGGTAAACTTTGCACAACTAACTTATTTTTTTGCTCTTAAAAGTGCCGTTCTACATTATTGAGCCTCCCTACATTATTCATGTCATGACTTTTACTACCATTTTACTGCCCAATAGTTTGCATACTTGAAAAACTGCACGCATACGTAGCACAGATTTCTATGAAGTGAGTATTTCTTATACAAAAATGCAATGACTGAAGCTTCATTGACATTCAGAAGTAGATAAAGAACACCAATATCCTACACTGAGCAGAAGTCATAGTCTAACTCTGATGAGCATCCGTAAATCACAGGGAAGCCAGGGGAGCTTCAAATTCACAGCTCTACTGGATCATGCCATGCAATTAATAAACTAATCAGATTACAAAGTAAGAGCCAAATATCATGAAAGCTGAACCAAATAAACAATGGAATTTAAACCCGGCATTACAACTAAAATTAATTATTGCTCATAAAAATGTCTACAGAGCCTTGTTTACAGACAACTCACTCACATTTGAGATTCAGCTTTGTGTATAGCATATGATTCTTAAAGTCACAGAAACTTTGCCACAAAAAGCTACAGTCATCTGAACGTCCACATGAAAAGGACTGATTCCATCTGGAAAATCCAGACCAGCAATGCAGTTGTCTCTACTACCTCTACTATACAGGTTTATTTTTTCATTGAACTGTAAATATTGCTATTTTTACATTTGAGTTTGTTTTGGGTTTTTTTAATAGAAGGTACTGAAGCAACAATACAGTGTGCTGACTTAAGACATTCAAGGGAAAGATAAGCTCCTATTGATGCCATGGCATGAAAACATCTAGCTCCCATCAACACTAATGGAAGTGGTACTCTAAACTCCATGAACTGTCATGAGGGCACACCATAAGCTTCACAAAGTCATATACCAGGAAGATTTTCTCCCTGACAATCAAGTCTTCAAATTAGAAAACAATGCTTTATTTCTGGTGCATTCTAATGTGGCTTCAGTGAAAGGTTAGAAGCAGTTTGAAATTTAACCATTCATGAGAGGAAGCTCTGCTTTTTAGACCAGAACTATCATCTTACAATAGAGTGAACTGACATGAGTACAGTGCAAAGAATCACATTCCGTAGTGGATGAAACTGCCAGAAAAAGGAGAAAACACTGGGTTTTTTTCTCATCTTGCAGTTCTGGTTGCACACAATTACAAACCAGATATGCTCTGAGAATTTATAAACGTCAGTATTTAAAATTACATAGGAGAACAATGAAAACAAGTGCTATTATTTTTTACTTGAAAACAAACTTAGGAAAACCATTTCATGTAGTGCCAAATATGTGCTGCAAGCAATTTGGAGATTATTTTATTAAAGATTTTTTTAACTCTTCTGAGAAGACAAACTTATCTGAGAAACGTAAGTGTTTGATCTATTACAAACACACAGCCAAAAGAGGCCACATCGTTTCATCAGTTTCAGAGATTCTCCCTCCCCCAATCAGTTTTAAAATTAATAGCATAGTGATCTCTGCTGTCCCATATCTAAGGGAAGACATCATACAGCTGACTTTTGAAAAGGAAAGCAATGCATATCTTTTGGTTTAACATCCAGCCGGAATTCATGAGAAAACAGGTAACCCTTAAAAACAATTATCAACCTAATTCATGCTGAGATGTAAAATAAAAAGCTGTACAAGTACTTCCTCACTTAGAGCAAATTTGTTGCACTGAGACTACAATAAATACCAATAAATCAGTACAATTGGCCATTATTTTGAAGAGCATTCTGATGATATACATATGCAGTAACAGGACTTGGGTTTTCTTTTTTTTTCTGTTTAAAAAAATTAAAGAGGAAAAAAATATCCCAACAACATATTGTAACATGCAGTACAACTGAATTCAATCACATAAATAATTTCAAAGAACGTATGCTGTTTCAATCCAATTTTAATTAGAAAGCTGAATGTAAAATCATGGCAAACATGGCAAAGTCTGGGTAATATGACAAAAAGACCCTGAGCAACATTATAAATCTGTAAGAACACTGATTAATTTGATTTTGGAAATCTCCCTTAAACCACTCAATTGATTTCGGTCACTGGGGTTTTCTCTTCACAAAAAGGTCAGTCCATCCTGTGGTTTTTATCTGAACCCATCACACACCATTTAATGAATGCATCTAAACCAAAGACAGAATGTCTGGAAAGTAACGTGCTAAGGAGAGTCCTCCTGGCTGCCAATCAGACATCACTGGGTGATCTTGCTCTCTGAGACAGGTTAGAAGGAATACAGCCACAACAGATGAGCCAAAGCGCTTTCTGTATCTCCTGGTTTCTAAAAGCATATATGACAGGATTGATAATGGAATTGTAGGTAGCTGGCAGGAGGGTGGCATAGGTGTATATAGAAGGATAGGTGTAATCTGCTATTAAAGAATAGAGTGTAAAAGGCATCCAGCAAGCAGCAAAAGTCCCCAAAATAATAGCCAAAGTAGACACTCCTTTTCGGGTGGTCACATAGTGGGAAGTGGCCAGGAAATGGTGTTGCAAGGCAATCTGATGGGCATGGCGCATCACAATTTTACAGATCTGAATGTAGAGCTGCAGCATGAGGGCAAACATAAGCAGGAAAGAGACCGAAAGAACAGCTGCATTATTTTTAGTGAGTGGTCTGATAACACTGCAGGTGGATTCATCTCTGAGGCAGTTCCAGCCCATTACAGGCAGCAGTCCAACACAGATAGATGCTCCCCAGAGCAATATAAGCATGACATAGGTAAAAGTGACAGTCCTCTCTGAATTGTAAGTCAGAGCATAATACAGGGAGAGGTAACGATCAACAGTAATAGCCAGCAAGCTGCCAACAGATGCTGAGAAAGAGGCAACGATCAGTCCAATCGTAACCAGTTTTGTAGCTTCTGACTGCAGAAGGTAGGCAAAAACAAAATTGATGATCAATCCAATGCCCGCTAAGAGATCTGCCAGTGCCAGGCTGCCTATCAGGAGGAACATGGGGGCGCGAAGACTGGGGTTATGGAAAATGATCAGAACCACAATGGCATTTTCGCAGGAGATAAGGGTCCCTGAAGTACACAAGACAATGTCCCAGGGGTTTACCAAAAGCTCTGGCTCAGAGTCTACGACAGGAACCAGGGAGGAGCCTGGAGCTGAGGCATTCTCTGTAGAACTGGCTTCTACATGATCCTGAGGCAGCCAGCTCAAATTAACCTTCAGATCTTCATTCATTTTAACCCCTGTCTTCTTCAACAGAAAGACATTATTTTTAATGTTCAGGCACAGCACTGGACACATCATCCCCCCCCGGAACATGCATCGCCCGAGTCAGCAACACCAACCTAATGTGCAGACAGGCACTTGTTACATAAATGTGACAACAGAAAACAAAAACAAAAAAAGGCGTGGGGGTGGTGGTGGGTGGGTGGTATTTAAAATTGCCCGAGATGATCCACCAAGGGACAGACCGGGGCGCGGAGGCTGAGCGACCCGTAGGGCAGCTCCCTTCAGCTGCACAGGGATGAAGGCACGGCAGGGGAGATAGACCATATAGACAGCTGAAGCCCCCATTAAGCGCCGCAATTTTGGGTGGGGGCCGCCTGCGGGGCGGCGTAAACCCCATTATCCAGCGGCCACGGTTCCAAAGCGGGTGTATTATTTTTGGTCGCGGAGGGAGCGGGCAGGATGGGGAAGCGGCGGAGGCGGGGGGGAGAATATCCTTCACCGACCCCCAGCGAGGAAACCCCGCCCGGGCTTGGGGGGTGGGGAGGGGGAGGGAGAGCGGGGGAGAAGTGGGGGCTTTATCCTCTCTGAGAACTTACAAACTCGACGCGGACACGACACGCACAGCACCACACACCCCACGCCCCGCGGCGGCGGTTCACCTGGGCTTATCCCCCGGCGGGTCGGAGGATGGGAGGCAGGAGGAGGCACAGAGGGGTCGGCGCGGTCCCTCTCCAGGCTCCAGCGGGACCGGCGCCGCGCGCGGGGGGGAGGGGGCCGAGGGCGCAGCGCAGGTGCGCGCACCCGGCGCGCTCGCGCGGGGCGTGTGCGTGTCCGTGTGTGTGTGTGTGAAGGGGCGGGGGCGCGCCTCGTGCGCGCGCGCCTGCGCAGGTGCGCGCGGAGGAGGCGGAGGGTGGGGTGGAGGGAGGGGGACGCCCCCCCTGCCCGCTCCTCCCCGCACCCACGGAGGCACCGCCGCGCCCACCCCCGGGGCGACGACTCCCCTCAAGGCCGGCTTACAGCGGGCGGCTGGCTTTTCCTTTGCAGCAGGAGCCTCCTGAGAACTGTTCAAATCGAAACTGTCCGTACAGTGCGAGGGTGGTCAATTCCTGCTGCCATGAGCTTGCCCAGGGAGTTAGTGGTGTCTCCGCCCCTGGAGATACTCAAAAGCTGGTGACATCACCATCCCTGGGAGTGTTCCAGGCCAGGGTGGATGGGGTCCTGAGTGACCTGACCTAGTGAGTGGCATCCGTGCCAATGGCAGGGGGCTTGGAACTAGATGATCTTGAAAGGCCCTTCCAACCCAAACCATTCCATGGTTTTATGATTCTGTGACGTGGCCCTGAATGACCTATTGTAGCTGATAGTGCTTTGAGACGCAGGGCTGGACCAGACCACCACCAGAGGCACTTGAAGCCTCAACCAGTCTGTGATTCTGTGGTTTATAACCATGTGAAAATAAATCACAGAATGCCAGAATCAATTAGGTTGAAAAAGACTTCTGAGATTACGTAGAGTCCAAGCTATGACGAAACACCACCATGCCACCAATACCATGACACCAAGTGCCATTCCCGGTCTTTCCTTAAACAGCTCCAGGGATAGTGACTCCACCACCTCCCTGGGCAGTCCATCACGATGTCTGTTCACCCCTTCTGTGAAGAAATTCCTCCTAGTGTCCAACCTAAACCTCCACTGGCACAATTTAGGATTATGTCCTCTTATCCTGTCACTAGTTATATGGGAGAAGAGGCCAACCTCCCTCAGATACAACCTCCTTTCTGGTAGGTCCTGAATGACCTATTCTAACTCATGCTGCTTTGAGATGCGGGGCTGGACCAGACCACCACCAGAGTGGCTCCACCTTGGAGACTCTACCATTCTGTGATTCTGTGGTCTATAACCATATGAAAATGAAAATACAGTATGAAAGATTTAAAGGAGCGGTGTCCAGTATCAGGTCTAGAGCAGGTAGCACCTGACAATGTGCCAAGACCTGGGCAGCCTGGGCATGGGGATGCCTGCTGTCCCTGTTAAGGGTAACGTGGCCAGATTTACACAGCTGTTACATATTGAATAGTGCAGGCAGGCTAGTGGCACCTGTAGTGAGTTAGAAACTGAACTTGCATTTAAGCCACTGGGTCAGAGCAGCCACACAAAACAGCTTTAGACAACAGATGCATATGTTTGTGTGCAGCAGGTAGTCTCCCAAGGTCCCCTACAGTCAGTGGACAGAAGTTTGTTCTCTAGGGCAAGTCAAAACAGTGGGATGAGTTGATCTATAGAAAAGGCTGGGAAATTTTAGGAAAACATTCTTTTTCCTCATTTACATGATTATATACCTAAAGCACTTTGGAAAATCTGGTCCTAGGGGATGATTGGAATCTTGAAGGAAGATTTCCTTCTCCCTTCTTGAGTAATGTACTCAATAATCAAGCATGGTGCCATCCTTCATTCTGGTCAACCTCAGTCATTGTGCTAAGCCTTGTGTGACTTTGTTGGATGATTCAAGATTATTCATTCATATTTCTGGTGCCCCTCCTGCCTTATAACAAGGATTAAAAATGGATATTGCATTGCTGCTGATCACTGTCTTCCAGTTTTATCCACTGATTTCTTATGTGACAGTGTAATAAATACCTTCCTCTGATCTGGACTGAGTATTTTTGGTGTGTTTTATCTTCTGTCACTCTTCCATTTAGAACAGTTGCTATAAAAATGCAAAAGCTTTTCTTCAAATGTTTTAACATTTGTTTCACAAATGGGGAAGACAGGCATTTCAATTGAATATTTTAATTGAGGACTTTGGAGAGCTCTGTTTATTCACTTAGTTAATTTGTGAATGATTTCCATTCCAATTAAAACACATTATAAGCAAGCTAATGTTTGTATCCTGTATTACCAGTTTGTCACTTTTTACTGAGATGGTGCTGTTGTCATTAGGGCAAATGGCATTGACATGGATTTCACCCTGTAGCACAACAGAACAGTTGTAATTCAGAGGAAAATCTCTGTTTAGGCATTGTGAAGATTAACAGATGCCAAAAATAGTGACAGGTCATAGGTAAAGAGCTCTTGTACCACCGTTTGCTGACCCTCAAGCTAGCACAGAACAGCCTAGTGCTGGAACAGGAAGCTGAGGTTGGACTGTGCTGGCTTTGGATCTGAGCTAGGATCCCTGTCTGACGCTGTGACTGCCATGGTGATGTACAATGATACTCTGACCTAGCTCAGGTAACACAGCGTGACTTTGCATAATATTGGCATATCCTGAGGCATCAGGTGTGAAGTCTAGTGCTGTTTTCTGTCTCGGGCATAGTCTGGAAGTTACTCACTCTTCAGGCAGTCTGTGACCTGCTGGATCCAGGAGGTTTGGATAAGTCCAGGCACATGCACTTCTTTCCTTCACATATCTGCAGCTGGCAGTAGGTGGGAAGTACTCCTCGGGGACCATACCCCAGCCATGTCCTGAGTGGCAAGTCTGCCTCCAGGACCACGGGCTGTGCCATGGATAGAAACCCTCTTCATAAAGCAGAGGTATGAAAAACATCACCCGCTCCAGTGACTTCCTGAACAGTAGGAGCATCAGGCTTTGGGATGCATCCTGAGTTATCCAGCAAGTAAATATGGAGCTAACCACAGAAACAAACCAGACCTATTCAAGTAGAAAAAAAAAAAATCCTGAAATAACACGCTGACATACTCTGCACTTGGGGCCCTACCATCTAGCAGGCCACCCTTCACGATATCCGACAGAGTCGCATGCTTCTCTTCTTCCTTTCTGGGCACCCTCTATTTTAATCCCTTTGTTTTGACTCCTAAGCTTTAATCCATTTAACCAGAACCAGACTGAAGAAGCCCCTAGCTGAATCACAGTCCTCATTATCTGGAGTTATTTTTCCTTTGGGTTTTATTTTCCCTCATGCATAGTCTCATGGTAACTTAAATAAAATTTGGCAAGTTCATGTTCTAGTAACAACTCTTGCAGATAGGAATGGTTCACTACACAAAAGGAAGTGTGAAAAATGCAAATATATGACAACAGGCTCTGTGCATTTTAGAAATGGCTTTTGTTAGAATTTTATTTCAGGAGACTTCAGCTTCACGTTGATTTAATCTTCGGTGTTACATGAATGGCATTTAGACACTCATGTAATGAACCAAACTCTGCCCACACACAGAATTGTGCAGTTATTACTGACCTTTCAGAATCTTATAACTGGTATACCCTTGGCACTGAACAACCCATTTAACCTTTTTTTTTTAAAACTTTCTTTTTTTTCCCCCATCCATTGGTGGGTTAGGTGTTGGAAGTCTTCACTCATTTTTTCCTGCATTGCTAGGTAAACTGAAAACAATCAGGATCATAACTAAAGTAGGGGTTATTTAGAGAATGTTTTGGGTTTATTCTAAATTAGTCTTTGTCCATTTCCAAAGGAAAGAAAGAAAACAGAGCAGAAAAAATACTTGCCAATATATATCAATTTAATAGAAAATAAGTCTTGTCACACAGACATGATATTATTACAATGGGAAGATATATTTTATTCCCCACAGATGAAACAGATTTTTGAAAGGCACTTGTCTTATCGTGCATCATTATAACAGAAGTGCCAATTTTCATTGAAATACTTTTGAAGGGACTTTTAAAACTTTTCCTACAACCTCTTAAAACACTAGCTTCCAATGGATCCTGTGCCAGACTTGCAGGTATTCAATAACCCAGAGGACCACTGGCAAAGAATGGACATGTTATAAAGATAGATGGATGTAATGGTAAACAAAGAAGAAGGCAGAAGCATTCAGAAGGTAGGCTTGATACAGTTCAGGCCAGTGTATTTTAAAAAGGTACTAAAAATGAGAGAGAATGCAGGAAAGAGTCACAGAAATTATTCTGAAGAACTGAGAAAATGTCTCATAGTGAAGGATTTATAGAAGTTACTCTGTTTGGTTTGTGTAAAAGCAGATCAAGAGATACATGGACTACAGCATGCTTTCACCAGGATTTCGAAGGGCTCTTGAATCTTACGGAAGAGGGTGTAATGTCTGGAAGCTGAAGTTAGAGAAGTTCAGATTCAAAATTAAGCTCAAATCTTTGACAGCAAGATAATTAGCCACTCGAACAATGCATTCAGGGCAAGTAATGGTTCCATTTCGTCTTAATACCTTCTTGGAAGACACCCTTATGAAAAATAAGTTCTGTACAGGCACATGCCAGGATAAAAACCTTACTCCAAAATTAGTATTTTAAGTAGTAATCAGCAATTTAACTTTTTCCTTTTTGCAGGCTACTATGGCAAGGAGAATTTTCTTATAACTCACAGTTTGTTCTCTTCAGATAAAAGAACATGATACTCTGGTGGTCGTAGAAGTTTGAAAAGAAACCCTTTTCCCCTGGGTGCCAAATGCTTTCAGTAGTCTAGGCTGCTCTGAGGAGTTGTCCTCTCCTAGTGGGCTCCTTACTTTCATGTCTGATAAATGGCTGAGTATTCACAGCCTTCAGAATTGTATGTCTTGGGGACATGTTTCCCTGCATACATATCTCATGCTTTTCTTGGTAGCTACTGTGTCTCTTTCCTGCTTTCTTTAACACATCATACTGTTTTTCTTTTGCCTCTTTTTCATATGTACTTAAATAACTTTCTTCTCTTTCTTCTCTTTCTTTTTTTAATTTTTTTTTAAATTTTATTTTTTTTGGCTGGATTATTCTAGAACTGAGGACAGTACGCTTTGTTTTGAATTTTGTACAGATTTTCACTATTTTTTTGGTACATGTACATAAAGAGCTGTCATGACAGTCCTCACTTAACTGGGAATA